CGTGTAGGGGAGTGGAACAATAGTGGGGAGAGAGATTATGAACAGGCTGCCTTTGGTCTCTTTTGAGATGCTGCTGCATTCAAGCACTAATTCTGGCAGTTCTTTCTTCCCTTTCCCTGTCTTTGAACTTGTTTAAAATAGAGCTCCACCTTCAAATGAGAAGAGAAGAAAAGCAGCTGGGAGCACTTGATGTTTCATCTACCTTTCCTCTTCAAATGTGCTTATCAGAAACATCAGCGAGTGGAACAGGGCTCTGGTCAGGCAGAAGGGCACCAGTGGGAGTAGACATGACTTGGATGCTCTTCCAATGACTTTTTTTGCTCTTCCACTGGCATGCTGCATGATTTTTGGGAAAATCCTTTCACTATCACTGTTTTTCCCTTATATAAAGTAGGAAGGAATAAATTTTACAGGGGATATTGATTGCTTTCAAATTTTTTGATGAAAAGTGCTGTATAAGAACTAGTCAGTGTATCATTGGCTGCATGAATACTACTGAATCTGTAGTATTTTTTCTTCCTCCATGTCCGTTTGGGTTACAGAGGAAAATTGCCTGGTTTCCTCATTTTTCATTGTGTTCCCCAGCACTCAGGACCCCAGGCCACTGATGTTATGAGGCAGATGCTTTTCATAGATCGGATTATGGGTTGATGAAGTAATAGAGCCTCATGCAAGCATCCCACTGTGCTCTTGAAACTGGAATTTCATTCCTGGTAGTGATCTGTATGGCCCTGCATTTACCTTAGAAAAATGTGGGGGTTTTTTGTTTGTTGGGTTTTGTTGGTTGGTTGGTTTTTTTGTTTGTTTTAAAAGGAGATATTTGGAAAGAAGGGAGATAATATTAATACCAAATTCTCGCTAACATACAGTATGTCACTGAAGGCCTAATGGTATTTAGTATATGGATTCTTCTGAATAGTGGATGTGTAATTCTCCTAAGATGTTTTATAAACTATAAGAGGAAGAGGTACAATTGTTCACAAATGTTTCACCGAGATTAGGTCAGTTAAAATTGCCTTTGAGAGTAGAGTTGCACTAAAAAAAGAGAGGAGAGATGGAAAAAAGAAACCCCAAAACAGGGTCCTGCTCAGTCTAGAGTTTCAGGCGAGAGAGGAAAAGGTCTAGTTATCCAGAGCCAGATGCATTGTTAAAAGTTCATACTATCACTTTGACATTTAGAGTAGGACTCGGTGTCTTTGTAAATTCCTCTTCGTATTACCAGTGTAGGTCTCTGAGCTCAGACCATTTCACAAACCATAACATTTTTTAGTGAGTGATTGATCTGTATTATGTGTCCTAGCCATCAGAAGAATCTTGGGATGTTGCTTGTATAAACTGTAATTCAGTCTGATCCTGGGCATTTAGTTACAGACTTTCATAGACCTATTGGCGATACTCAATCCTCCTGGATTTGGTAATAGGGCTTATCTGATACCTTTAAAAAAAAAAAGCACCCCTCATTTTCTCTGTTCCCCACTTAAATAACTCAACACATCTGGCAACACTGTAGGATCATTGTCCTTTCAGTTCCTCTGCAGCTCATATTGCTACAATATTTCTTCGGTATCTAGTTTCCTAAAGGGCAACGTGATTTTCTTCCTTTTTTTTTTTTTAGGCTGTTTTTATAGATCTTGCAAATTAACCCATATGCATTGCAAGAAAAAACATGACTTTTAATCAGCACCATTTCTAAAGTTAGCGCTTGCTCTGTGTATATGAATATGTATATGAACCAGTGTTTAAAAAAAAAAAAACACACAACCTTTCTGCTAGTACTCAAAACCAGCATAGAAATGTGTTTTTATTATCAAATAAAGTATGCCTAAATGTTAAAATATCTTTCTGTTAGGGGTTATATCACTTGACTTCTTGTCTTGAATTACAAGAATGATAAAACTTGAAACTAAATCTTTTAATTCAATAACATCTACGTTGAATTTTAGGAAGCAAAAAGAGGAATCAGATATGGACTTATATGCATAGGAAATTAAACATTCATGAAATTAAAGCTTTGTGAGCAACTGAAGGGGTAGCCTTAAGGTGTGCTCATTTGAAATGCCTGCATTTAATTTTACAATAAATCTGAGTATTTTGTTCCAATTAAGACAGTTCATGTGCACGACTTTAAATTGTACAGTAGTTCCAGGGAGATCGTGGACTGCTTGTTTTACATTCTGGATCAAGTTCAGCTTTTTAGGCTTCGCTTGAATTGAATAAAAAAAATCTGAACCCTGAAGATAATGCAGATTGATAAATCTGATTTAAACATTCCCGTGTTGCAGACTTTCAGTGTATGTGGTACAGCTAAGCCTCAGGCCATGCACTAAATACATCCACAGTGCATTCCCAGGGCACCTGAATACCAAATGATCACATTTGAAAGGTTACCTTTCTATGGATTCTGACTTTTCTATATTAGCCGTGAAGATTAGAATTTTAACAGCTCCCATTGAGAGGTATTGTGAAGTATTTACTTGGCAAGAAAACAAAACAAAACAAAGCCCAAATAAGGTACTGTCTCATATTCATGAACTAGGATTTATTAGTTCTGCGAACGTCCTTGTGAGAATACACTCCATAGTTCACACTTTAGGGGGAAAAAAATAAAGTCTTGTTTTTCATTTATATTAACTTAAAACTTAGAAGAGTTACTGTACTAGAGGTTTTAGCAGAGAGGATCACGCTGGTGCAGAACATATCCCAGTAAATCCTGCAGTCTTTCACAGCTAGCTCTCTGCAAGCAAAGTTAGGCCTGTTTATCTCTCTGGAAATCTGGCAGTAGCTTTGTTAATAAATTTGGTGACAATTAAAGGTGTAAGGCTTTTTCTCCTCCTCTTTTACAGGTCGTGGAACTCATTTCAAGTGCTATCGGTGACTTAGTTCAAGGTATATATTATGAAAACTCAAAATCATCTGAGGTAAGAATTTCAGTAGTTTCACATACCCAAGAAGTTTGGTAATATTCACGTGTGACTACAGTAAATTTCTTTCTTATATTCCTCCTTTTAGGAGGAGGGAGAGGGAGGAAGGGAATTAGCTGTGGTCCAAGTGGGTTTCAGCGGTAACATCCATATGACACCTGTGAACTCTGATGGAACCTTCTAGAAATGCACAAAGAAGGATATGTCTTGCTATGGGCTTTCCAAACACTTTCAGAGGTTTCTAGTCAAGGTTCTGTTAGAGGCATTTATTACAATGTTGACATCATTATTAAAGCTTTCATGTTAAACCTCTCATTTCCAAGCCCAAAGATGTTTACAAAATGCGAGTGTTCATCTTTCAATGGTATCAACATGAGTTTTGTCCTGCAGTGGAGCACTGTAGTCTTCTCCACCAGAAGTCACCGGGCACGCGTTGCAGGAGTCGACATGGGCAAAGACAGCGGCTGCCAGCCTTTCGCACCAGTTAATTTTGTCTTTAGTCAAGGGCAGTTATGAATGTACAGTGTTGTTGTGTGGTAGGAACTGTAATGAAAATCAGTCAAATTAGGTCTAAGTATTTTTGTCTATACTAGAATATTTAAGGAAACTTGTAGAGACGTTGTAGGCTTGCGTCAGCAGGATGTTGGAGCAAGAAAGAGTTATTTCTTTAATTTGCTATGACTGTATCTTAACGCATGCAAAAAAAAATTATAATTTAAATTTGCCACGACTTCTATAGGTTTTATGATGGCAAGTTTTCACTGTATGAGAATGAAGAGCAGTATGTATATATGAATATCTATCTTGAAATCCGCTGAGGTAGATTTACTTATAATGATGTTGTCTCACATGCCTAGTTTGCCTCAGAGACCTGAATCTTAATGTTCAGTAGGTGAAATGGCTTAAAGATTGCAGAAATACATGAATTCATTTAGATTTGTGGTGCATTTAGATTGCAGCTCTGGTTTACTATTGCCATGTTGTAGTACGTAGCAAAATGAATACCTTAGCGGATGACCTGATCGCATGGGTTACTGCTACAATAGATACCTGCACTAATGGCCATGCACCACCTAAGCCATGGTGAGCAAACGGAGAGTGCCCTCGGCTAACGGTGCTGGGGCCTGGAGTGTGCTGCTGCACCCAGCAGCTTTGCTGCTCGGTGTCTGTCTCCTGCTCCGCAGCAGCAAAGACTTGTTACTGAAACTAACATCGGTTAAGTTTATCCCTCTTGCTTTGACTGAAACCAGTTAGGTAGGAAGCAATCCCGCTGATGAGCTGAGCTCTGCCCTCGGAGGAAGCGAGAGCCTCCAGCAGGAAAGTGGTAATGGCACGCTTGGGAGACGCCTGGGGCCGCGGGCTCGCCAGGTGGCATGGCTGCGCGCTGAGGATGACGGGCACAGAGCATCCCCGGCACCTCTCAGGAGGGGACCCTGAGTGGAAGCCCGGCAGCAATGGGATGTTGGGAACTTGACAGTTCTTCCACACCTGCTGTGTTTAACCCATGGATAAACAGACTTCAGCCTTCAGGGTTGCTCCCAAGTACTGCGCTCAGGGTTATGTGTTAAAATAGATGGCACCTTGGAGAATTTTGCAAAGAATGTTTAAAATTTTATTTTCCGTATTCAAGCAAGTTTTTAAATACAAGTAGATCCCAGATGTATCATGTTTAAAAAAACCAACTACTCTTGTGTGTGTAGAAGTAAAGCTTCCCAGGTTCATCTCCGCAATGAAACTGCATTTTATTTTATCCATGGCCCCTGTATAAATGAGAAATGTTGTGGACTCATTTGGGTTCCTGCCACTGCAGAAGGTCTTAATCTTCTTTTTCTTAGTCATTTTGTTTATTTTCTGTTGCCTTACTGAAGCACTCCACATGTGTGGATTGCAAGGGAAGTGTGAGATAAACTAAGCACAGCTGTGTGATGTTTATCCTGCCCTGGCCCAATTACAAACAGCAAAGACTTATTTTGGTTTGGTGACTTTTTCTGTCTAAGGAGAGTTGAAAGTGCAGTATACACTTCCTAAGTAAGGGGAAGCCACTTAACTCAAAACACAATTAGTGTATGCCATAATAGATACTTAAATGTGCACGGCAGTGTCTGAAGATTAGTTGTTTTAATGGGTAGTGCATGGCTTCTGATGAGGCCTAGAACAAATGAGTGTGGGATCTACTTTAATTTATTTTTTTAATCTTGTCCTCTGAGAAATTTGGCTCTGCATTGTGTATGAGACTTATCCCCGCTGCTTTCCTCAGACTGTTCTGCTGAGGGACTTTCCCCTTTGTGTCCCAAACACCTCTTGAGCAAAGATTGTCAAGTGGCCTAGGTCAGCTGTTGGTCTGTCTTATTTGTATCCTTTGTGCATCTACGCCCCATCCCCAACTGCAATATTTAACTGAAACAAAAATTGTGAACTACATTTCCTAGAACTAAGACAAATGCTTTAATCTACTCCGCAACCAGATCAAACTTTATTTCTTTTTAAGAGTAGGGCATAGGGATGTTAGTAATGGCATTTTTATTGCTACGAATATCTTAAATTTGAAAAAGCAGGAGGATATCTTCTCACCTTTTTTTTTTTTTCTTTTTGAGGCAGGAAAACTGTACTTCATATCTTAAATGTCTTTAATGCAGTTGTTATGAAGCTCCTTAGTACCATAAGATAGACTTATTTAGCACCAAGCTGTTTTGAGTTTTGCTGGATGTCTACCTAGACAAAAACATGAAACTAACTCTGCAAAACTAACCTTTCTCTTCTGAGACATGAAGTTCATGTTTAACACCCCTTCCCCCGCCCCCCCCCCAAAAAAAAAAGTTTGTTTGCTTCATTTGGATGACCCAGTAGGAAAATTGAAAGAATCATTTGACCTAACAAGACTGACCTTACTTACTCCTGAAGACGTATAATGGATATAATTGACAGCTTTCGTTACCACTTTTTTTCTCTGTAAAACCACATACAATCCTACAGCCATCCCACTTCAGTACATTCTGTTTGGTCATTCTTCATCTTGTCTGCATCGTGAGTCATTAGATCTGTGTGAAACAGGGAAAATAAAGTTAATGTTTAATTTTTCATCTTTATTTGAAGCAACAAGCTAAACTACAAAGTGTAGGCTTCGGTTGCAAAGACAGCCTGGAGGTTAGGGCTGCCACTCGTGTTCAAAGTACCAAATAGCTGCTGCAGTTGAAGACATTGCATTAGCAACATTTTGGACTGTAAGCTGGAGCAGAAAGGGGTGATGTGATAAACCTTTGCAGCTTTGTGTGCTAAATCCCCTCTCAACCCAAAATTCTGTGAGTGAAGGACATTCTTCTCAGTTCCCATCTGTTTTTCCTGAATCTAGGTCTAATTTGGGAGTAAAAATTTGTGCCTTAGGGAGTGCAAAGATGAAAGTTGTCTAATCCGGCCTTCAGTCATGATCATGGTATCTATTTTTAACAGGAGAAAAAAACCCAAGCCAACATTGCCCTGAGTCTCTGTTTCTTACTTCTAGGAAACTGAAGGCTTCTAAACTGTTTGCTAACTCACAGAATACTGTCGCACTTTGAGACACCTTCTGCCATAATACCCCAGATCATTGAACAGATATTAATGAATGCTTTAATGTCCCAGTCAGTTCACTGGACAGGGACGAGAGATACAGGGAAGCTCAAGGTCAAACAGCGGAATCGACAGCAGGACTTGAGTGTGTTGGCTATTCTGCTTTACCTGAGAGACCATTCTTGAAATCTTAAAGAATTAGGGACTTGCATGGGAAACAGCTGCTTTGAGGCTTTTTTCCCCCCTCACCTCCAGAATACCTAGTTGGTGCTAAGTGTGCATAACCAACACTCATTTTTAGTGTCAGAATGGGACTGTTATGCAAGACAAGACCATTTCCAACATGTTTCACTGATGGCTAGAAGAGCTGTTAGCAGGTTTTACAGTTTTGCATGCAATTGTGTGAAAATTGTGCATAACTAATATATTAAACAAGTTTAAAGAAGAAATACATTAGTGGCAAGTACTCATTGTACCAAATAGTGAATTAAGAGGTATTTGTTTTAGAAAGATGTCAGATTTCTTTTGCACGAAAATGAGTTTATTTTCTGTCAAAGCACAGACTACATGCAGTGAGTTGTAGAAATTCTTCTTTGATGTTTGGTCACCAGTAATGCTTTGGGATACTGTATGTGTTCATCAGCTGGACTGCTATGACTCAGTATTGTAAGTAAAGGATTTGCTCATAAATTTTACCATAGGAGGTAGATCAAATGTATTTTGAACCACGTAAACCACCTTTTAGCAGGGCAGCAGTGTCAGAGCTTTCACTTTTTTTTTTTTTTTAATCAAATGTTTCTGTTGCAAGACAAAAGGGAAGGATAAAATGTGGAATTTGAGTGAAGAGCATCTGTGAAAAGAATGGGTAAATGTGTCAGAGGGGAACAAAAAAACTATAGCTAGCAAGGCGGCCAGTGCTATTTGTTAACTGCTCAGGTACTTTTAAATACTAAGCTTTTCCAGAGAGATTTAAAAGTAACAGATGTGGAGAAATATTTAAATTTATTGTAAGTTTTCAAACTTTCATAAGGTGGGTGTTGCTTTTTTTTTTCAGTGTCACAGTAAACGTATGAGCGAGTCGGTGGCGTGCTTTATTGACCCATTTGCAGACATCCTTGTTCCTTCAAACACAGTGAAGACTTGTATTAATAGACCAATAAAACATGCCTTGTCATGTTCAGCAAGCAGGAATACATCTGTTGAAAGCTTATGTGAACTGTGTGCAAGATGTTTTGCAGGGTCTTGCTACTGGTAGAGAGATTCATAGGGGCATTGGATTTTATTTATGTAAACTAGAAGTTCTTGAACTAACTAATCTAAAGCTTTAAAATGCTATTTCAAAATATTTCTCTGAGTTTCTGTGGATTATTTGCCCATTGAGAACTGAAACGAAGCTTGATATAAGTGGTTCAGACATCTCGATCGTTTTGTGCAATAGCAGATGGCAAAGAAAGAGCTGCCATGGTATAGAAATAAAATAAAGGCTCTCTTACAAACTACAGCTCAAGTTTTACCTTAAAGTCTCTGACTTCTGCTCCTTCCTGGCTTTTTGCAAATGGTTTTGTCTACTTTTAACACAGTTTTCATTCATCTTTTCCTTAATATGTTTTCAGCTGAACTGTGTATAAGCATCTTCTTCAATGTGACAAATCAAACTGAGTTGTTCTAAGTGCCACTTTTATACCGGGGATGCTTTTACCATCACTAAGAGCTGCCCCTCCTGATGGCTGCCCCTCCTGATTGTGTATTTTGTCCTGCCATTTCATTTTCCAAACTTTTTTTGTTTCCTGTTGCCAGAGATGATTGTTTCAAACTCCATTTAAGTTATGGAAGTAGCTTAACAAAAAATTTCATCTAGCCAATTACTTTCTAGCAAAACAGTAACTGACCTTGCTATTAGTAAAACAGGAGCACCCTCGGCTGTTCTTAATTTCCCATAGGAAATGATGATTGATGAGCTGGATTCGGGTATTTTCCCTGTGCTCCCATGCTGATATTATCCAAACTGTATCTGGAGTTCACTGCTTTCTTCCAGGGATGGTGACCAGTTCCGCTCTCTTCATCCAGCTTCTGCTGGCCAGACAGCATCAGGGTTGGTTGTGACCTGGGCCCATTTCTTGGTGACAGAACTTGGGAATGGGGTCACTCCATAGGCATTAGTTAATCAAATGTCCGAACACTGTCAACTACAGCTAGAAATAATTTGGGTTTTAAAAAAGGCTTTTATAGGAAAGGCTGTTAGGAGTCTTCAGGGCTAGCTAGTGTTCACTTTTATCCTTTGAAATATCCACTACTGACAAAGCAAAACAAAGCTTACACAAAGTGAATATTTCTCTAAAAATAGTGGGTGCTGTCATAATGGCAGATTTCACAGAATTTGTAATCTAGAACTAGTTTTCCCTTGATGTCTTAAAATAATGCTCAGATCTTGTCATACATGCCCTTGTACAAATGCAGTGTGGTTGGTGGACAGTTTATAAATAACGTGAGAGTTAAGCTTGGGGAAAAATGACGTTTGGATTGTTGGAAAACTTGGCTGAAGAAAAGTTGTGTCTGCCTCCGCCGCCTTAAGCAGCAGAAGCTTTAGGGGTATGTGGTCATAAGACGCTCTGTGATTAAAATCAGCAATATTTTGGCTTGCAAGGTCATATGCTAAAGCACATCCATATGCGCATGATGCCTTTTTACACCTGGCTTCTTTCTGTAACCTGGAGATTCACCATACCTGTGTTTTTAAGGTTTCAATACTGTATCTTCAAATATGTCTCAACCTTTTGTCTTTTTTCTTTATTTTTAAGTTAGATCTCCATTTTGGGTGGTTGATTCTCTGATGTTCATGTAGTGGACAGTAACTTGTGCAACCATTTTCAATCCTGTGATGAAATTCAAACTTGGTTGTAATAAATCATAGAATTAATTTCCTTATATATGTTGAGTTGCAATGACTGTTTAAGCTTCTTCAGTTTCTGCAGTGGATATTTGATGTCTGCATTTCAGTTTCTGCTCAAAGGCTCCAGCAAACATTTTTGACTTGTCAGTCATTTGAAAGAAATTTTTTTTTTTTTTTTTTGAACTTCATAAATTGTTTCGGGGTACATTTCTAGAATATTTGTCTTGGTTGGGTTTAAACCAAATAATTATAAAAATCACTGCCAATTTTCAGTATCATCCAGCAAATTTTAGTAAATACTGTTTTTTCGCTGAGCAGATTGGTTGTTAAAGAAAAGATTGTGTTGCGTCTTCCAAGAACTCCTGATTTTAAATTTAAAATAAATTGATCTATATCTGAGTGGGAGAAAAAAAAAAAAGACTCGATATGTAGGAAACTACTTGAATTAAATGCTCATTTTGACATTATGCCAGTCATGGGAATTTGCACATGCTCTGGGCTGAGTTAAGATATTAAAACAAAAATACTACAGTAAAATGAAACATGAGGAAAGTTGAGGCTTGACTTTGTAAGTTATCATATGTATAATAGCAAACATGTGGTTTCTCTGTTCTTCACTTTCCTTGTATAAGTTAATAGTATGTCTGAAAGCAAAGGCATTTTGATACAACTCTGTGTTACTTGGCATTGCAGAATTCTCCTACTTTTTCCATTAGTCTCAAATTATCCTCTCCCTTGTAACGCAGCACTTCTGGGTGATATCCATAAGGGAGGAAAATTAGAGCTGAACAGATGGATTCTATTTCATTTGTTACCGATTTCATGACAGATAATACCTTGCTAGAAAACTGTAGGGTCACACAGAATTACTTCTTGCTCGTTTCCAAGTAATTTAATTGACGTCACTTTGAGGAGAAAGGCTCGTTATATAAGAGTTTTTTTACATTACTCTTTTAAAGACTGCCTTTTGGCTTAGCGTACATTACAGATTTGGCTGAACGGAGAAGTTACAAAGTTTTTAATGTTTATATGCTTGGGTTTTTTTGGTTTTTTTTCTGTAGCTTCTCATTACTGATTTCAGGTTTTTTTCTCAGCAGAACAACTGTGGTCTTTTCTGGGTTTGTTTCCACCACCCCCACCCCACCCCCCCTTCAGCAAGTACCTCAAGGTGTGTGAGGGAGATTACAAGTCACGTCTAGCTTTGAAGACTCATTAGTAAAATAGTAGCATATTAACACCTTGTGAGCCAAAGGAGCTGCAGTTGAATTTGGGTTTGGGGGGAAAGGATTGGATTTGCATTAATTAAAACACTTTGTGGAACGTAATACCAACTAATATTTTGCATACAAAGGATCTTGAGAAGCACTGAGTGTCTCTGACCTTACAGTCAAGGTGATAAAGTTCACTAGAGGCATCACTGAGATCTCTATCATTCCCCCGGGAAAGTTAATACCTGACACTTCTAAATGACAGCTTTAGTTTTTTTTTCGTTTTCAGTCATTCCTCATCCTTATTATGGGAGCAAAAGAAGTAAGTGTCTTCTGTAACAGCCCTTCATTTTTCCAATGCAGTTCTGTAAGGATTTTTAATACCCTTTGTAATTATATTTTTCTTGACTTCGAAGGCGAAACTGTACGGAATTAAGTTTATTCGTGATTGTTGGCTCCTGCTTACTGGCAAGGGGATGAAGTGCCGATGTACATTGGAGTTTTTGTTTGTTGTCTTCTTCTTTCTCCCCAGTCCCTCATGAGGAATATAGTCGGCTGTAAATGTTTAGTGTAATGGTACAGTCATTAAGAAAAGGATCTATGTTGAATCTGTTGACAGTTCAGTGTATTTTGCATTAGTCTTTTTGAGCAGAAAAAGAAAATGTTGTTGTTTGAAGCTGCTGGTATATTTATTCTGATACTTTACTCACCCCCCAAAAGAATGTCCTTCTTTATTTGACGCCATAGCACCGAGTTTTGTTACTCACCACGTGTTGGGCTACCTTGTGCCACACCGTTAACTTCTGTGAGCTGACGCAGCTGCAGTTTTGGTGTTTTCATGTTAGCCTTTGTTTCATTTTTAGGAGAACTGTCTTACAGATGACATCGGCATATCTACATGGAAGGAGCAGGTTTTCCTGTCACACAGTGCCTTGCTGGCAAAGAGCTGCCAGGCTGCGATGGAGCTAGCAAAGCACAACGCTGAGATTCAGGACATGGCATTTCAGTATGGAAAGCACATGTCTCTGAGTCATAAGGTACGCCTTTTCCTTTCGTTCTGGGAGCTTAAAAACAGAAAGCCTTGTAAGTTGTGATGCTTTTGAGCTCTGTTGTATACTGCTGCTGTGCTGTAGGCTTGTGCCCGCAGGTCAGCGGTGCTAAGAGAGGTGACTGCTGCCTTGTGTGAACATGTTTGTAGAAACTGCTGGTACAAACAGTGCCTGTGAACTGGCAAGATCACAAATCTGGCAATGTAGCTTGTTTCATTCGAGGCGCTGTTAACGTCCCACTAGCTCATCTTTCTGTCGCAGCTTAAAATTTTACCTTCTCTGCTCCGATGTTCTTGAAGCCGCAGTAGTAGGAGTTGCAGGAGGAAGCATGTGTTGGGTCTCGGCTGCTGCCACGCACATCTTTGCAGGCAGTTGAGCCGTGGTGCAACAGCACATGAGGCTGAAGCAGGAGCTGTGGTGGCTAAAGGACCTGCATTTGTTCCCTTCTGAATAATCTGCTGCAGAGGTAACTTCCAGATCAGGCAGCTGGGGGATAAGGAGGGAGGTCTGCTGGATACGACAGGAGCAGCCTACACCTCTGCAGCAGTAGGATTTCCCAGAGAAGGCCTCTGATCTCCATGAGAGTGCTGTCTTTCAGTCCACAGCTAGAGTTAGTCCAAAGGAAAACCCGCACAGTGTGGAACTCGGGTCCTTGGCACTCTTGTTTTGCCCTAAAGGTCTGCTCCTGCTGTACTGCACTAGTTGCAAGGATAGGTGTAGCTTGAGGCAAGCAGACAGACTTCCCACCCACTTCAGCTGAGTTGGTTTAGACAGTTTCTAGTTCCTCCAGGAGAAGGAAGTGGTTTTATAAAGCTCAGCTTTACTGCCACAGAAATGCCACTATGTGCTATTACTAGGTACAACTTGATTGGTAAATTGCTTCTAGTGCAGACTATAGCCTTAATATTTTGAGTATGCTGTAATGTTAATACATTCCCCACTGACATATATAGTTGTGTATCAAGGGTTGTATAATGTCCATAGAAAGCTCCTAGCTATGTAGCGTTTCCTGTGTCAGAAGGAGGGACATGTTGCATCAGCTTCCTCAGGTACTGAAAAGTAGAATGTATTACCCTTCACAGATTATAAACTGATGTTCTGCCCACAGTACTTTCCTTCATATTTTTTTTTTGCTTCCTGCCACTCAAAAATTGCCTGCCTGGCTATGTCCCATGACTTGCCCAGCTCTGCAAGCTGTCCTTTACCTGTTGCTTTGCAGATTCTCTGCGTGCTTCTCTTCACAACTGTCTGCCACTGCAATGCTTCCCCCTCTTCCTCTCCCTCCCCCAAACCTGAAAAAGTGCAGCCGAAGTACAAATGTCAAAGCAGAAGGTGGTGAGTAAGTATAGGATCAGGACATGGACCTTGATGTGGTGAGTGAGTGGATATGTATAGACTCTTCCAGGGAATTGAAGAAAGATGTTCTTCTCTTACAGCTACATTTGGATCTTCAGCCATTTGTTAAAGAAAGTTCTAGTGATGCCATGGCCTTCAGTTTGAATTCTGCTCCTGCAGTCCTGCATCAGGAATTCCTTGGAAGGGAGGCATGGATTAAACAAATCAGAGAGGTAAATTAAAGCGTTGTTTAGAATTTCGTAGCTTTGCCTTTTGTGTCTCTCTTCTTGTCTATGCTTTCAAATCTGCAAAGAATCTTAGAAACTAACAACAGCAAAGACAATATCGAGGTTACCTCTGCTCTCCAATACTTCACACTTCTCTCTTCCATGCTTTCAAGAGGGGAAATCTAGGGACCTGACAGTTGAGCTCTGTCAAAAGTCTATGTGTCAGTGTAACTAACAGATTCCTTTATGTGGAGCATGTCTGTTCCTCTGAACTACTTGTGCAGGCCCATGTTTTAGCTTAAAGCTACTCTCACTGGCAGCTTAAAGCAGACAACTTTGCATTACAGTGGTTGAAGGGTAAGCACACGTTTTCTTCTGACAACTTGGCTCTGGGAGCAGTAATTTTGGATGAGGGGAAAGGATCTGGGGGACTTGGCTTCCTGACCACTACAAAATATTTGAGAGATCTGGATGGTTCATGTCCTCCTTCTCAGTTCTCTGAATTCAGCTGTCTTTTCCTCTGATCCTTAGATGAAGAAGGTGGTGAGAGTAAGATAGCTGTGTGGTGTAGATCAGTGTTACCTACCATGTAGCAGAGCAGGGTTCAGGTCTGTGAATAGCTCTCTGGGTGTTGTTGAAACATAACTGTACAAGACAGCAGGGGGAAATACAAAAATGGCCAAAATTAAGCATTACGTTGAGTTCCTGCATTTGTCAGGCATGTTCTGCCTGTGTGCTTCTCTTAACGGTTTGGGTTGGGAGGGACCTGAAAGATCATCTAGTTCCAGATCCCCTGCCATGGGCAGGGACCCCCTCCACAACAAATAGCTGTGATGAGCACTGTTTGGAAACTCCTGCAGTTGTTACACAGATTTTTTTAGTAGAAAGGCTATTGTCTTCAGTAAGAAGCAAGCTCTGCAACCAAGATGTGCTTGCCAATAGCTCCTTTCCTTGCTGGTTTGACAGCAGGACCCTGGGCAGAAGGAGCAGAGTCTGCGCCTCTGCTTAGTTCTGCGTTTACGACGGCCAGGTTGCAGCCTGCTTTCACATACTGCAAGCAAGAGGCATAGTCTCCTCAGCAGTGAAAGTTTGGCAGCTGTATGCAGAATCTACAACCTTACAGTAGTGTGGGGTTGGGGGATCTTAAAGCAAAGCAGACTTTTTGTCATTTTAAAATTAGGGTCTGGTAGTTTATAATGTGTGATGAGGAGTTTTGGAATTCTAAATCCCAACACAAGGCTGATACGTGAGTTGAATGTAAACGGATTTGGACGATGGCAGTTGTAGAACAATGGTATTACCGCAGCGCAGCTTATAAAAGCTTTGAAACAATTTCCCATCTGCAGAATCTAGAGGAGGTTGCAGGACTCCAGGAGTGCCGTCTGCCTGCTTACTAATTCTCATACCAAAAATGGGCATTATAGAAACCATGAACCGTGAAGAGAGGCGCAAAAGAAAAAAGGTGACATACACTACGCAAAAATATCTACTAACTCCTGCATTAGCTAAATACAAAGTGGAACACCTCATCCAGAAGCCTTTCTTGGCTTGTGTTGATTATGAAAGGGAAAATTACCTTTCACTAGCTAGAAGCTCTTTGAGATATCATCCATAGTCACATTTGCTATGTGACATTCAAGACAGGCCGAGTGCTTAAAGCAGAGACTTCCTCTTTGAGACGTTGGCAGGACTAGTAAGAGTGTGCTCATACACCACCCTCCTGGGCAATGTCGTTTGGATGGTGTAAGTAGGTAAAACATGCACAGTGCACTCAGTCCCTGTCAGGTAGAGTTTTTCTTAGTAGATAACTAGGCATGTGGAAATCACACTGGGAACCTGTATTTATTGCTCAGTAGTCTGGCTTTCTCCCTTGATTGTTTGCCCATGTAAGCATCCATAGGATGGGTGGAAGGGAGCATTTTCCCTTGGCAGCTTCCTTCTCCTACAGGAAGGTCTTGGAGTTCAAGAAAGTGGAGGTAGAAAATTGCACCTTGTAGCCTGGGCAGTGGTGTACTGCTCAGAAGGCATGTGACTGGGGCTCAGAGCATCTCTTGGATAAAGGCAGTGTTGAAAGGTCATGAAGGATGCGTGAACTGCCATACTGCCCAGAACTTGTGTGATTGTTTCACCAGGGTTCTCTCGCCGCCGTTCCCAAGGTAGCCTGTGAACGAAGGCAACCGTATGCACCTTTCTGCTGCTGAGCCGAAGACCCTTTAAAAGCTCCCTTGTCTCTTCATTTGAAAGGACCAAAATACATCTGATACCCAGATGTGGAAGGTTGCATCAACGCTGACGCTATGTGTTTGGAGAAGATTAGATTCGGATTTGGATGAAATTTAGAGTCTACATTAAAAGGAAGTTGGGATGTGTATAGGGGATGCTTTGTCACAGGAGGAAAAAAATGTGTATGTATGTGTAGGTGTGTGTATATACATAGAGGTACATATATGTGTAAGGAAAAAAATGTGTATGTATGTGTAAGTGTGTGTATATACATGGAGGTACATAGATATACATGAATGAGTGATCATCCATAACAACCTGAACCTCTCCTGTTCTCACTGACCTCACCACCAAAACCCTTTGCCTTTGTGCATTTAAAACTAAAATGCCCACTGAACTGTTTGGTCAGGTGTCTGTTTTAAAAGAAATATAGGTGGGAGTAGAGTCCTGAAATGCTAAAAAAAAAAAAAATATCCCAAACCACCCAACCCTAAATTGTTCCTAGGAAACACTGTGGTAGCTAGACAAAGAAGTGCTTGAATGCTCTTCTTCAGAGAAAGTGTTCAAATAGTTGCTGAATACAGTCCCACTGAGCTTTTGGAAAGCCCTGTATTTTTAAAATTGAGCAGATGATCCAGGATTATAGGATGGAGGATTTCTTAGGGGTCAAAAGACACAAGAATTGGTCACTTTTAGCCACTTACCGATATCTCTAGCTAGACAAAAGCAAAAATTCTCTGGGTTAAATAAGCATCCAGCACCTAAGCAGTGAGCTACAAAAGGTCAAAGTTTGAGTGAAGAAATTAAGCAGAATCCCCCAAGAACAAGTCTAGAATCCATCTCAGCTCATAGCATTTGTAATTTCATTTATTAATGAAGAATGTCTTGGTGGTGTTGTCCCTCACTACTCGCACATGGTGAGCGGGAGGAAGGCTGAGCTGAGTTGGCCGTTCACATCTCTGATACGCTAGTAAGCAGATGCTTATCTTTGAGGGCCCAGAGCCCCAGCCTTCAGAGCCTGAGCTCCCCAGCCAAGCAGCGGGACCGAGAAAGTTATCCAAGTTTTCCAAGAATGCGTACCTTTTGCACATCAGGCGTAATACCTTTGAGGAAAGCTAAACCAGGTGTAGCAGTCAGGGGTAAAAGGAAAAGAAAAAATTTCTTTGTGTCTGAAATCGAGGCCAGTAAAAGTCAGAAGAGCCAAACTACTGCGAGGATAAAAAGGCGCAGGTGTAGTAAAGAGGGCTCGGGAAGCGGGTTAGATAAGAAGCACGGCTGCTGTTGACATTGAATGCCTGAAAGGAGCAGAGCATGAGAAAATATTCTTTGTGTCTTAGGCGCAGAAGGAGGCACGCTGAGCACACCTCACACCTCTTCTGGTATCGCAAAGACTGAAAAGCGTCTTCCTCAAACATGTTGGCAAATTCTCCGCTGCAGTGTGAATCTGCATATAGGCAGTGATTTGTTAAAGAACATATTTCTGGTGTGTTCCGATACACAATATAACCACGAGATACATCTTGAAGAAGCCGTAAGATCCAACGGGTATGAGTAAAAGTTGGCAAATCAAAGAGATGGGAATACACAAATAAGGAAGCAGTTATTGGCAGTGGTTTTGCTACTCCCAAATGCTATCAGGCTGTTTTCTTAATATGCATTCCAGGAAAGCTGACTCTTAAGAAGCTTAAAGAGAGTAGTAAAGAGGTTTTGTGGATCAGTCCCCTTTCTCCTTCAGTGAAATCTGTTCTCTTATTTACTGTTTTCCTTCCCGTTCCGCTTGCTTAGTCTCTCATCAGTTCTGCTCTCTATTTTATTTTTACTCCCTTAACAAAAATTATTTTCACAGTCTGTGCCGTCTGGGCAAAGCTGTGCTTACCACATAGTGTTCCTGGTCAGTGCAGGCCTCAGCTCTTCTGCCAGCTGACCTGCCCCTCTTGGCTGCTCCCTGAAGTCCCCACAGAGGACATGGAGAGGTCCTAATCTACGTCTTTTCAGGAGACATTCCAGAAGAACTGAGGCTCGTGGTCTCCCTTTGTGGAGGCTAGAGGAAAAGAAATGGGGCATTTATTTTCTCAATGTGCCTGAAAGGAAAAGAGCTGGAGCTGGGTGAGGTGATAGTGGGACAGCTGGATCTGACCTAAGGGTCGGTTAAGCAGCAGTGCTCTGGGTCTGACAGAGCACTGACTCTTCTCCATAGTCCTGTGACAAAATTGAGGAATTTGGGTTGTGTGCTTTTCTGCATCTGGACAAGAAGAAATCAGAAATTTATTCATGCTTCTTTCTGAATGTGTTAGGAGTCATAGGTTGTATGTATCTGCTGCTTAAGTAAAGGGTGATGCTGATATTTAAATGCAGTTCCAAACCAAAAGCACCTCTGACCTAGGTCTAATAGCACTGACATGGTCCTGACACCTCCTTTGAGAGCGCTAGACTGTTACCTGTGTGCAGATAGCTGCAGACATACAGAGAGTTCTCTTTTAAGAAAATAAATTCTGTTATCGCTGATATGAAGTACACTTTATTTCAGAATCTCAGGGGAGAGATTAATTAATGCAAACAGCAAGGTTTCTAAGACCAAAAAATTTTGGATTCAACAAATGTTTAGCTACAAATCATAACAAAAAACCTAAAAATTACATTGAGTATCTGCAGCTTTCATCTGGAACAGAGCCGTGTTGTATAAGCTGGTAACACATTTGGTTGTATTTTAGGTTTTTCTCTATCAGATTCCTAAATAAAGCCAGTTATGTTTAAAGTCGTAGCTCTTTTAATTGCATTCTTTATTCTTGCAACTCTGGTTTGTAGTATGTAATGTCTTATATAAAAATCTCTCTTTCTCTCTAAGGCACAAGAAAAAGGAAACATAATGGACTACAAGAAGGTGGGTAAATTACATTTAAATCTCCTTATTATTTTTAATGGCTTTTTGTAATATTTTCACAGATATTCTTGACAGTTGAGAGAAACTTCCTTATTAAAGGCAGGTTATAATTTGTGCCTGCGTATATGGAGGGAGAGAGAATTGCTTGATTTTTAAAAAGCCAGTAATAGTCAGCTATACTGTAAGTATCAAACGTAGCTACTTAATTGTAATTTTTGACGTTATTTATCCCGTTTCATTTCACAAACTTTGTTTTGAAACCAGGCCTTCTGATGGCTTTTGCTGTCTTTTTCTGCAGTCATTTGCAGGTTAGCTCCCATCAACCTGTATGATAGAGTATGCTGTTACCTTTTTTTTTTTTAATCTGCCCTTAATGCTGTGCCATATATTAAAAAAATATACATACACACGTTTTTATAATAATTCATGTTTCTTCCAGTCCCCATCACAACTTTTAGGTAAGTCACCACTGTATCTGCTACCAGGCCTGCTCTATAGTAAAGGCAGACCTGAGCTAACTTACCTGCCTGCTCAAAGTAGCTAGGACATCATAAAGCTCTTGGAGAGCTGCAGGAGGTGGCTGAGAAGGTTCACCTGGTTAATACTGGAGCACAGCGTGTTTGTGGTGGAGACAGAATATGATGACCTTGTGTCCCCAACTCACAGAGCACGAGCCTGACTTGGTCTGAGTCTTAAGTGGATCCTGAGGGTCCAGTTAATCATCTCCAGCATCAGTGGCAATAATATAGAAGTTCTTGAGTCACATACCTCATTGAGAATTGCTTCTTCAACTGGGGTCTGAAGGCTGTTACAGCTATGACTGCTGCTGCAGTGGAAGGCTAACACACGGCTACAGGGGAGACTTTTATTATAACTATTCTGTATTAAGAAAATTTGTAATTTAGATTATTAAAAAAGTTTTCTGTCCTTCCTTCCTCTTAGAACATAAAAAACATCTCAACCTTAGTTTGCTATTTAAAACCATTGTGCTTTTAGTTTTTTCTACAGTAGAAGAAAACTGATACAACTGTGACATTCTAAATCACCACTGAGAGCACTAAATCTCTTCTTCAAATATGTCTATGAGACACATTTGTATTTAAAATGGTCTACATGCTTTTTTAAGTCCAAAATGGGTTTTCTCCTTTTAGTTGTTACAATTGTGATCTGCCCAATGTAATTTCCATAGTTAAAAAAAAAAGAAGGGTGAGGGGGAAGAAGAGCATCTAAAATAGCTTTCCTGAATTAAACGTTTGTCAGTGTACTCTGTATTTTGACTGAATGATTTAATATTTTGGATCCTTCCCATGAAATTTAAAAACTTACATTGTGCTTGGGCAACTTGGAGACATGAATAAAAGGAAAGGGAGGGGGAAAAGCCCTTCATGTTTTGTATTTTGCAGTTGACTTCAGCCAGAAAGCGTGCAATTTTACTAGCTCCGGTAATCGTCTCTTACACAAGCACAGATGAGTTTAGTAATGATAGTGAAAAATCCTCCTTGGTTTTGTTAGCTCAAACAATTATCAATTTTGGGTTTTGTAGCAGTCCGTTTCAAAACTATAATGTCATGTCCCTCTCTTCTGTGTTTCTTCCTTTAAAATAAAAGTGGTCATTAATGACATCTGTGCTAAATGAACCCAGTAACCTGTAGCTTACCCCAGCGTAGTAGCTTGGCCAGTGTCTGCACACAGCCAATTAGAAGGCATGTTGTGCTGTACAAATTAGTAGTTCTTTTTTGCCCTTTGCTTATTTCTACATCACTAGAGTCAATGTTGTGCACGTTGCTCAGACTTTTCCTCTCAGCGTCAAGGTCCCCTCTCACCTTTCTATTCAGTTGCTACAATTACTTTAATGTCCCTAATCAAATTTGGGGGTTTCTTTCTCATTAGGCCTCCAAAACATCTCCTCTTTAATTTTGTAAAAGCAAAGGTTGTCAAAACTAACTGTAGAACTTCTGAAAAGTTGTATTATTTTTGCTCTCTTAATTTTTATTATGAACTTCAGTGTGCCATTTAGTTGAGATAAAAATGTTGTTCCTGTAGTAGAATTAATAAATATATGCCTACAAAAATTGTTAGCTGCTCAGCCTGCTTAAGAATATTTTACTTTACTTGCTGTGGCTTTTAATTAAAATAATGAATGAAGGTAAATTTGAGAAATTGAGATCCACCCATTTAACATGCCTCCTTAAAAGGCAAAGGCCTTACTTTATTTCCATTTTGAGACTGCGCAACAATTTTGAATTGTTCTTTTGATGCATGTTATTAAAATGGTATCCCTGATTTTTTTTTTTCACTGACAAAAAGGTATCTAGGTGGCACTAGTAAATTTAGTGAGGGCTCTGACATAAATATAGAAGTGAAATACTTTCTATTAATTTAATTAGGCCTGAGACTGTGATATCAATAAGGTCACTGTGTTCTGCAATAGTTTTTAGTATTTTTTTTCTCCCAGCTTTTCTCAGTATTTTTATCAGAAGGACTTTGATATCACAAAAGGCTTATTTTAAGGTCTGTGGTTCTGAATATGTTTTCTCACATTAGTATCTGAGTGTTTCACTTTTTAAAATTTTTTTTCCCTACACCATCACATTGCATCCAGACAAATTATTGATCCATCACTGTGGTGTTTGAAAGTCTCTTCCAGGGATGAAAAAATAGTTTCAGCTCTGTTTTCGTGGTGTTTCTCAGATAACAAAGTACCAGTATATGGCAGGGACAGAATTCATGTGTGTCATTGAAAGTGACAGCAACTTTCCTGTCATGCTCATTTATAAGTGGGATTTTGGCAAAAATCTGTGACTTCTTAAAATCAGAAAAGCTTTTATCCATTTTAAATCTACTTTGCATGCAAGATAAACTGTGTGATTCTAAAACAATGAATTGAGATTCTCGATTGTTATAATTTTATAATATTGATTAAAAACTCTCCACTGAAGTCAAGGCCTTTATGGTGTTTCACGTTACACACACTTGTTAAATGAGTGTAGCAAAGGCACAACTGATAGCAGAAACGAGTAAGCTAGGAATAATTCTTGGTTTCTGGCCAACACTCTAGAAAAATTATATTATAAGGCTAAAAAAAGAAATAAATCCCATATTTTGCAGGCAATGAGTACACCACTGCAAGGATTTGTTTTTCTAAATGCAATATCCAGAAAAAAAAATAATAAAATCAAGTTAAAAAGGACATAGCAAAACTTTTTTTATATACTGTAGCCCTGTCCATTTGCTCTGCTGTCAGTTATAGAGACCTTTCGTCCAAACTGGCGTGGGAAATACAGCACGTCAGCATAGTGCTGTGACATACCTGGTTTGTATATGGAACGCTGTGCATGACGTCAACACAGGGAGCAGATTTCGTACAGTACGGGAGCTACTGTGGGTCAAGAAGCGGTAGATCCAGCCAGTCATACGCTGCATGGCATGAATGTCTTGATTTTCCGTATGGTAGGAAAGAGAGAAGGAAAATGGGAAAGGTCACTTTTGGAAGCAACGAGGTTTCTCTGTAGTCATGCAGCTAATAAATAGCAGTAACAGTGCCATCCAGTTGCGTTGGTAGGAGTCGCATGGCTCCCCTTCCCCAGCTCACCGCTGACCTCCATGGTTGGTGCAGTCATCCTGCTGCAGTGCTGTCTGCAGAGCAGTTGTCCAGTCCCGTGGTGTAAATGACAGTGGTCCCACGGTTCTGTTTGTTTAAATGCCAGGGACACATCGTGAGATGTCCATCGTCATGGGACTACAGGCCATCCTGGACTATTCGCTCGTGCTTCCGAAATGCAGCAAAGAGTTAACAGCACAAGATTGTTGTTTGTAGATGCTTATGACCTGGCAGTTGTCCATGAAAATTTGTCTTGTTTGCTGTGGAGCAAATCTGCTATTACTTCCTTTTTTTGTGTATTAAAAAACCAGAATAGTCAGTGATTTCATGAATGTAGGGTTTTTGAGATGTGTCATATTATAAAAGCAGCCAGAACCATTCAGAAGAACCAATTTTCGCCTTTCTTGGAATTAACCATATCTGAATTATCAAGGTGTACATTCAGTACCAAAAATCAGTTGCATCTTTGTTTTTAATCAGTGGGTATTTTTCATGGCTTCTTTGGCTTGAGAATCCACTGCAACTCTTGTTTCATTAAAGCAAACAACTGTCACCTCTTTTAACATAAATAGCAAGTTAATTGCTTGTGTTTGCTAAGATGACAATTAACAATCACTATTTGCATTCACGTGATTTAAGAAAGTCATGCTTTTTGGTAAAAAAGCATCACTTAACTACCATTATTTAGATTTAAAAGCTAGTGGGCCTTGTTAAGTTCATTGTGAAAGACATGGGAAGGTGTAAGGAGGAGGGGTTGGTGTCTCTTCTAAAATATTAAATGGTCTGTGCAATCCATCAGTGTCTCGGGATGGCTTGTAATGTTTTGGCACCATGTGCTACAAGAGCTGTGTAACAGCTGGAGTAACAGCATTCCCTGTAAGCAGGCTGTCTTTCCTCTGCTGCTGGGGTGACTCTCCAAATTTGGGCTTTTCCTAGATAAGGTGCTTTTGAGTTTTAAGTAAAAAGAAAATTTGACTGCTTGTCAGATGAGTAGGACTGCTAGTGGAAGTTTCTACATACAGAGTGTTTGTGTTTTAAAGATGCGTTTCTTTACCTTTTAGATAGAAAAAGTTTCTAAGAAAATATTGGATAAATACATTTACTGCTCCAGTTTCAAGTGGCATATCATTCTACATGTATAGCAAACAAAGATTTTTAAAAAATAAATATATCTTATCACATTATGACGTGATGCATTTAAATGATTGTCCAGCCCATTTTGAGAAGGAAGAGCATAACCCTATGTCCAGCCACGTGAACTGTGAGAGTGGATGCTGAGACATTCCAGGGTACTTAAAAAACAAGGGAAAAATCTGACAAAGTTGATCTACTGGCTGTGAAACATGCCTGTGCCTTTTCAAGGTAACATTTCAGCAGTCTGAACCACGGGTGCTTATTG